TTATAGAAGAATTAATAAAGTAATTGAAGGATATAAAGAAACATTTAAAGAATTAGAAAATATTATTGGATATATTGATTGTATTCAATCATTTGCTACAGTTTCTAATGATAATAATCAAGGATATGCTAAACCAAGAATGAAAGTGAAAAAGGAATTATTAAAATTAAAAAAGCAAGACATCCATTAATTGAAAATAATAGTATAAATACATTTATTGAAAATGATATTGATATTAATAGAAAAGAAACAAGATTTCAAAATATTACAGGACCAAATATGGGAGGAAAATCAACATATTTAAGAATGATTGGATTATGTGTTATTATGGCACAAATTGGAATGTTTATTCCATGATCTTGAAATGAAATATAAAAGAATATACAAAATTAGATAATAGATATAATACAAATAAAATAAGAAAGAAGATATTAAATGTATAGAAATATTCATAATTGAAATTGATTTTATAAAGAAGTATCAAAATTCACATTGATTATATTGAATTGATAAATAAATATGAAATAGTTTAATATCAGTAAGATGTATAATTCTTAATACATTAATTGGTAGATATAGAATAAAAAGTGATGATGATTGACTATAGAAATGATAGAAAATATTAAAATGAAAATAAATCATATGATTTATATAATAAAATAAGAAATAACAATAAATATTTAAAATAGAAATAAATAATGAATAAAATAGAAATAAATGATAAAGAAATAAATAAAAAGAAGTTATAGAAAATAGTATATTATGAAATAGAAGAAGAATAAATAATCACAAATAATTTCAATAATTTTATATAAAATAAAGAGAATGAAGAAAAGGTAAATCAAAAATATTGAAATAATGTATATTAAATAATAAAATATACAAATATTATGTAATGATATAAGAAAATTGAATTAATACACATTATAAATTATTAATTATGTAACAAAAGATAATAACAAATGAAATATATATTTTAATCAATTTATAACACAAATACATTTCCATTTGTATATCTGATAAAATTAGAAAAGAAATAATACAAATACATATAAATGATTGAATAATGTAAAAAGAACATAAATAACAAAATAAATAATAATGAATATAATAAATAGAATAATTATATAAAATATGATTAATAGAAATAACAAATAAATAAAAATTATAAGATAACAAAACATGAAAGAATATAAAACAAATAATGTATATTAATGTAATGAAGAATTAATAATAATAGAAATAAGAGTTTGTAATGAAGAAATCATAGAAAAATGAATAAAAAGAAATGTAAATGACTGTTCATTGAAATAAATACAAATCAGATATATCAATATATATTTCAGTATTCATTATATCATTTGATAATCATTCAAAAAACAAATAGAATAGAAATAAGAATAGAAGAAGTAAAATAAATGAAATAATACAAAAAGAAACAGAATAAATAATAAAGAAAAATAATAAATATAAACTCATCTTAAATAATACAGATTAGAAGAATGAAAAATTATATTATTGTTTAATTCAAAATCAAAATTGATGAAGGAATTAAACAAATTAAATATAAATTTATTTATATGAAAAATAATATTTATATGTGAATATGATATTGATTTATTCATAGTTTGAAATAAAAATAATTATATAATAATATATGTTTGTTTATTCAACTCATTGATTTCTCTTCTTTCTTGAATAACATTCATGATTATTGTATGTACATTTAAGTGTAATTTATTGAATGATGGAATAATTTGAATAATTAAATCAATTTTATGAAATATGAATTTCATTTTTATACTGGTAAATATTATTTATTCAATTGTGTTAATATAACTGAATAGAACATTGTTTTATAAATAAAATAAGTGTATATTTGAAATATAATAGAAATGATATAGAATAATAAGCATAATATGTATAGTAAATAAAATTAATATCATTTTAATAGAAGTTAAAAATTCATTTTGAAGTTTTATTTCATGTGTTGATAGTAATAGTTAAATAGTATTAATCAATAATATATAACACAATATTAAATATCAATATTATTTATATATTTGTAATACTATTTCAATTAAATTATATCAACAATAGAAGAATAATATTGATGAAAAATATTAAATTTATTAATATAATCTTTTATTTCATGATATTTATAATCTATTCTATTCTTCTAATTTAATTATTATCATTCATAGATTCTTTGAACAGATTTTAGTATAAGTTAAAAGTATTTTATTTGTATTTTTATGTTCAGAATAATAATGTTTATCAATTGATTGATTTGTTAAATAAACACAAATAAAACTCATGTCAATTGTATTAATGAAATACAGAGTGTAATATACAATAAATGATGAGAATTATTATTATTCAATTCTATCATTTTATAGAATAATAATCAAATAATAATCAAATTTGATAATTTAGTTTATTTCATAAATAAATCAATCATTTAATACTTGTTCAATAATTAAACACTTTCATTTTGTATTAATTGAATTTTATAATATTTGTTTATATAATGTAATGATAAATAACAATAATATGTTGTAAGATGATATGAACCATTTAATATTCTAATCTTTATTAACTATTTTCTTATTATTCAATTATAATAGTAAAAACATGAATAGATTAATTCAATGTATTGTATGTTAGAGTGTTAATGAGATGAATTACATAATCAAAATACTTTATTCAACATTAATATCTTTTAATAAATATCTCAAAAACTCACATATAAATGATTTAGATGATGATATTCCAAATGAATACAAAAATAAACAATTTATTCTAAATACTAAATATTATTGATTACCAGATGAACATAAAATACTAATTAAACAAAAGATACAAAAATAAAATGATAAATAGAATAGAATAAAATCAATAAATATGTATTTCATAAATAAAATAATAAAGATAATTATAGAGATAATAACAGTTCAAAGAAATGATCTTTTTAAATTATTAAATATAAAAGAAATTAATACAATGAAAAGAACACAACAACAACAATAATGTATAAATATAAATACTAGAATAGAAATAAAAATGAATTAAATAAGAAGAAGAGTATAATTAATCATTAATAATAAGAGAATTCAAAATTGAATAGAGAGAATGTAATCCATCTTTCATTTTTAAATGAAGTTGAAAATATTTCTTGTTTAATATTGTTTCATATAGATTTAAACATTCATTACATAAATCAAGAAATGAAGTTATTTCATTCAACAATTGTTCACGATATTCTTTATTAATATCAGTACTTTTGATCATTTCAAAATATTCAATAATTCCACCATTCACTTCTAGATATATGAGTAATAATTATTAAATTAAAAACAATAACAAACGAGGAATTAATGAACCTTGTAAAAGAGATAAGAGAGTCATCGTAGGAGTATTTCTTTGATTTGAGATAATAAATTGTGAAGTAAGTTGTTTCTTCTTCTTAATTACATCATCAATACAACATTCAATTGGAGTACAAAGATATTCTTCAATATGAAGAACTTTTTGTCTTATGAGTTCAGAAGGGAGAGGATGTTCTGTTGTAATATATAATTTTTTCTTCCATATATCTTTTATAGTTATATTTTTATTATCTTTTGTTTTAATGATAGGTATTTCAGATATGAATTTATTTGTTTGATCTTTATCTTCTAATTTCTTAACAGAGCCTATTTGAATAAAAGATGTATTAAATGGTAATTCATTAATGTCTTTATTTTGATTAATTATTGTAATAGTTCCATTCAATGTAACACCAAGTGATTTTGTCATTTGTGTAATTGCTTCTCCAATTCGTAATTCTGATCGATAGATATATTCTTTGTTTTCTAATTCACCCCATTCTTTTCCTATAAATTTTACAAAATAATATTCTCCAATATACATGAGACTTTTATCATTTTTCATTTTATATAATTCTCCCATTTTCAAATAACATTCTGAAACTTTATTCATTTCTTCTTTATATTTATAATATTCAATTAATATTTCATTCATTTTTATACTATAATCATACATCTTTCCTTTTGTAAAATATTCAATACTTTTATTTATACTTCTTTCAATTCCATTTTCATTAAATGGATATTCTCTATCATTTTCTTTAATTTTAATTTCTTTTTCATCTATTTTTGTATAAAATGGTATTTTATTTATTTTAATTAAATCTTCTTTTATTGGTTTAATACAATACCATATTATTTCAATTATTTTATTCATTCCAATTCCTGCTTCAATATAATTCCCACTTTTTTCTTGTGTTTGAACAACTTTATCAATCCATGTATAATATAATCTTGGATACTTTTGATATTTCTTTGAAATTTCAATATATTTTTCTTGAATAAGATTCATATCTGTTTTATATTTGTCCATTTTAATTAATTCATGTGAAACATTTAAAATTTCTTTAATTTGAAAGATAACTTTATTTATATCATTTTTAAATAAACTCTTTTCTTCTTTATTCTTTATTTCTGCTTCTAATGTTTCTTCTAACTTTATACTTTCTTTTAATTGAAGTTCTGTAATTGCTGTAATTGAATAATATGTTGTATTTGAAAGTGTTTTATGATATTTATAATCTATTTCAAGTATTCTTTTATAATATTTATAACATTTCTCTCTAATTGTCTTTTCTTTATCATTCATCATTTTTATGATATTTCTAATTAAAGGAAATGAAAATATTTTTATTTTCAAATAATCTATATTTTCTCTTATTATTATTTTATCTATTCCATCAATGAGTTGATCTAAATAATCATTTCTCATTGGAATATAAAATAATAGATTTACCATTATATCAATATATTTTTCTTTTATTTCTTCTTTTTTATTTAATATATTAGTAACTTCTTGAATGATTATTTTTCCACTTTCAATATAAATTTCTTTAAGTGTTATTGTCATTTTCATTGGTCGTCCAATATTTCCTTCTGTTTCTATTATTTTATACTTTTCTTCTTCTTTCTTTTCATTTCTTCTTATAGATTTATATTCTTCATTCTTATTTATTTCTATTTTCTCTCTTTCTTCATATCTTATCCTTCCTTTTATTTCTTCTCTCTTTATCATTCTATCAATATCTATTTCTGTATTTCTAATTCTTTCTACAATTTTTATATCTCTTCCTATTTTTTGATACCCTTTTAGAATAAATTTTATTGTATCTGCCATTTTCTCTTCTTCTTCTTCATTCATCATTATTTTATTATTCTGAATCATCATCAAAAAACAACAATAAAAGATAATATGTTCCCATTCTTCTCCTTTATTTTGCCATTCTACAATATTATTACTCTCTTTCAAATATTCTTTAATACATATTTCTTTTGTTTTATTATTAATTCTTTTTATAATTTCTTTATTGTAGAATAAGAATGTAATTATATAACTTGTTCTTTTTGATATTTTTAATGTTTCAACAATATATTTCCAATATTGTACAAATTGTTTATTTATTACTTCATTTTGTGTTTTTATTGAGAAGATTCCTTTGTAAAACTCTTGATTAATGATGAATTGATTAAAAGATTCTGATACATCAATTTGATGATTAATTTGTTGAATTTCTTCATTAATTATAGTGTTTATTTTATTAATTAATCTCCCAAATTGATAACTTACATTTCTAAAACAATAATATTTTATACAATAATCTTTAAAAATAATAAATGTATTGATAAGATGAATTAATATTTGATGAATATTTGATTGACAATATTTCTTTATATCATCTTGTTCTAATACAAGTGAAATCATATT